TTAAGGATTGAAATCAAGCCCACCCATGGTTTCGGTTCGGTTCACTTTGGGTCAATCAATTGAACCCTGATCTCACGTGTTTGTCGAACATGAAACAATCGATAAAGATTGAACTTGCAAATCCGGTCGATTTAACTTTAACAAACAAACTCATCAAACTTGCAAACAATCATAAATCTACACATGAAACATGAGGCAAGTCCTAGATTCACAGGTAGATTGTGGGTTGGACATTGACCCAGTTTAGTTTCGGGGATGACCATGACCTGCCCCAACCAACCCTGTTTGGCCTTGTTGTTCCCATGGCCAGGGGCATCTGAGTTATGACCATGCAGGGAAGAGGCGTCGTTTGATCAAGGGGTGCTTCGCCTGAAGCAAACCGAAGCTTTGGATCCCCACCCCTTTTGAAAATTAAATGTCTCACTTCCTGAGTTGGTGGACTTTAAACTTTTTGGAAAGACCATTTTAGTGGTACATAAAAAGTTCAAACTTTTTTTGGCCAGTCAACTTGGGAAGTGAGATGTCCTTACGACGGTCGATGTTCCCTTTCATGGGGAAGCCCGGATTTGGGGTCCCGGACACCTTCATGCCTCTTATGGCAGGGATCCATCTTCCACGAAGTCGGCTCCATGTGATTCACTTTTCGGTGTGGGTCCAGGGCTTGATGTCACCGGAGGCTTGGGTGGACGGCCTTGGGTGCCATCAGGACCCTAGGGGCAACCCTTGCATTTGCAGCGCGGGCCAAATGTTGGCCCTCTAAGTAGAACCTGTCCTCTGAACTTGGCTCTCAGCCATCCGGTCCCTTAGCTTTTTGGCTTTTTTGTGTTTAGTGGTTGGTTTTCCGTATTTCGCCAACTAAAAGTTAAACTTTTAGTGCGGGATTTGAGGACAGCCTACTTAATAGGGGGGATGTTCCGAGTTCCCCTCCAAAAGTGGGTCTGAATCCGGTTCCGCTAGAAAGCAGACACCCCTGGCTCCGAATTAATCAACTGGGGGGTTATTTATTCGGGGCTGGCATTAGGACACCCTGCCCCAGGTCCTTCCCAAGGGGCCATGCACTCGCCACGCTTGGCGAGGTTCATGCGAGCTTTCTCGCAGAACATGAAGTACGCCGTGCTGCAAGACAGCAAGGGTGACATGCCAGAAGAGGACAGCAGCGAATCGTCCGGCTCTTTAGGTTTGTGCTGACTCTCTTCGAAGCTTTTCACAAAGGATAAATAGAATGACTTCTCTAGGGGTCAACAGGATTCCAATATGGCCAAAATGTTACCCTCCCATCACATGGAACCTCACAGAAAATGCAGTTCAAAACCCATGCTCTCCCCCAAGTTTCTCATTAAAAAAAATAAATACAAAACAAACATGGAGTTGTCTCATGTGGGAAGTTCCCCTTTAAAGCCGGAGTTCTCTTTTATGAGTATTCCATGCTTGGAATTCTCATGTTCTTTATGAGTTCTCTTCCTCTCTTTAAAGCAGGGTTGTGGGATCACGGGGTTTCTCCCCACTTCTGTGATACAAGGGAATCTCCCTTTATAAGAACAAAAGAGTCTTTGAGAAGCCCTTTCTGTTGTATCGCAGAAGTGGATTCCATTCCCCACAGCCCTGCTTTAAAGAGTTGTCTCACGTGGAACCATTTTCTTCTCATTTGGAGCCTGTGGGTTCTGGATCCCCTGGGTTCTGGTTCCTGTGGGAAGTCGCAGCCCGCTGTTCAAAGGGAATATCCTTTTCTTGCTCAGGGCTCCTGAAAAGATCGATACAAATTTTGCAGCCATTTGACACATGGGGGCTTTTTCAACCCCCAAATAAAGGGACACCACCATTTACAAGTTGCAATGTTCAGGTGTATAATGTAAGGATCCCTGTTGCTGGTGCGATTAAGGAATGAGATGGTTCTTGGTTCTGTTTTTCGTATTCCATTTCTCATTCCCTAGCACCAGCAAGTTTGGGGGAATGCAGGAATCTTCGAGAACTGGTTCAGTTTGGGGACATTCCCAGATTCCCAGATCCAGCGGTTACTTTTTATGCCGTGAAACGGCTACCCAAACAATAATTGTTGCAGCGAACAACATATCTACAGGATGGGTTCCAGAATTCGCCAGGCTTTCTTTTCGCCGAGCACTCATTGGAAACGGTCATTAGAAGCTGCAGGCGTGTAAGCTAGTCTATGTCGTTGGGGCTACCGCGGAAATCCAAAATGCATACATTTTCCAGAACCCATTCGAAAAAAAACGGGGCAACGCCACAAGTGCTACAAAATGGGTTTGCAACAAAGTGGGGAGACCCCCTTTCCGCCATTTGGAGCCCAATTTGGCCACATGCCCATGTAGCAAATAGTCGCCGCAACTTCCCTACAGTTGATTTTCCAGGGCCTACTTGGGTACTTAGTAGTTTTACATGTGTTTTCCATCCCTGCAGCTGCAATGGTCCATGTGAGCCACAATCAAACCCCGGCAAAGGAACATTGTGACTTCCATTTGCGCAGGAATCTTTGTTATTCTCCCCTGTTAGTCTTACAGGGAATCTATCACTACTGGACATATTTTCATTTTTTCAGAGGGCTGAAGCAAATGGAAGTTGATGGTAAACAAAACGTTTCGACTTCTGGGCAATCCACTCGATCCGAAGAGAGACACGGCCTGGAGGGGCTGGACTTTTTCATCCACCGAGCGAAGTTCGCAGGAGCGTCTTCGCCAGCTCAAGGCCATCGAGGCCGCAAGAGGAGCCTCAGCGCCGAAGGGAGCCTCAGGCGAGCTGCGGAGCGGATGAAAACCCGTCCGTTGAGTGGGGTTCGACCAACACAACAAAAACAGTTCCATTTATCTGGGTTAGCCAAGGGAAGCTTTACCCAAAAGGGAATTGGTTTTTGTTACCTAGAGTTACTTCCAATGGGAGAAAAAACAAATATGTGTTTTTTGAGACTCCCTAGGTACACAATTGTGGTTAAGTTAACTTTCACTTGCTGAAAATAATATGTTTATCATTATTACTAGTTTCGCCCGCCATGGGTGTGTGTTTGTGTTTGTGTGAGGGTACCCTTTTTCGTGCCTTAAAAGAACCCAGAATTTGGACAGCCGCCATGTTAGCTTCCATTCGCTGTTGTTGATTTTCCCCTGTTGGTTTTGAAGCGAATCTATCCCTGTTTCATTTTTTGCCAGAGGCGAACAACGCAAATGGAGGCCTCTGAAAACCACGGAACATGAAGGGCGCGCGAGAATCCCGGAACGGGTTTCCTTTGAGTTTCTGGACCTCAGTCACTTGGGATTGGACCTTTTTTGTTTGAGAACTTTCTTGGGCCATCCACTCAGGAAGTGAAAGGAATATTTTAGGTACATGTAGTATATATATATATAGATATGAACAGAGTCAGATAATATGTGGGCGTGTCTTTTTAATGGATCCTTCCAAATGGTGGTTCCCTTTTTTATTTCCCTTTAGAACCCACCAACAAAGGAAACCAACTCCAAGAAAAAAGCCACAGACCCGTGCGTCTTGCGTGCCCCAAGTGTGCGAGGTTTGGTGCCCTTCTGGGGTTCAACAGATCCAAAAAAGACAACGCGCTCATTTTGTTTTTGGGGGGGGGCTGCAGCCAGAAGAGGGGCAAGCTGGGAGCACTTGAAAAGATCTCTAGAGCACAGATGGCATTGTTTTTTTACATTGCCCCATATCATGGTTGTTGTTGGGAAACATTTTACATTTTTGCCTTTTGTGGTTTAGTGGTTGAAATCCAAATCCACTTAACTGCTAAAATTTGAGAGTTGTTGCTCCCCTTCCAACGTCAAGATATGAAGAATTTTTCAGCGGCCAACCCTTCACCCCTGGCACCATGGAAAGCCTAGGACTTGAGATAGTTCCACGTTTCAGACTCAGGGCCGACGTGGGTTGTGGGCTGTGAATCCTTTCAACAAGATATGTTCCAGCACCCAACAAGCTTTCGTTGGTTGCCGCACTTGTGACTTTGGACATGGGCAAACGCAGTTGCAAGTTGGGACCCGCGTGCTGGTGCAAGGCTCCCTAGACTTTGACCGTTGGGTTTAAACAGCATGTCGTCGCGACGTAGATGTGTTTGCTGCGAACCTCGCCGCGGGCCAGTTTGAAGGGAGTTCCATGTTGTGCAGTGAGGACTTATTACATAGTCTGCTACAGGCTTCACCAGCAAGGGATCGACAAAGCACCGAGTCTTGAGGTCAGGCCAACGTGGGTGTGTGTTTTTGTTGAGGCTCGGTACCGTTTTGAGGGGTTCAGAACACCAGACCCGCCCGACAGAGGGTTGTTGGGGCGGGGCTTCGTCAAGGCGAGGGGGTAGGCCTTTTCAAGGGGCCTTCTTTACGGAGGTGGGGGTGGGGGGGCGGTGGGGGGAGGCCCTGGCAGGTGGTTGGTTGGTTGCTTGCTTGCTTGCTTGCTTGGGTGGGTGGGTGGTTGGTTGGTTGGTTGGTTGGTTGGTTGGGTGGTGGTTGGTTGGTCGGGGGCTCGGTGGGACAAAGGTTTGGGCTGGGTTTAGGGTGGGTTCCAGATTGGCTCAGGGTCGGCTCTCGATGTGTTCCCAAACCTGTTGAGAGCAAATTTGGGGGTGGTTGTGCTTGCAGCAGATGGTTTAGTGCTGGTTTATGGTGGGGCTTTGCTTAAGCCCACTTGGGTGGTTTAAGGTATGTGGCGGGTGGCACCTACCTCAAACCACCCAAGTGGGCATAAACACAGCCAATGTTTTAAAGCCACCCGAGACCAGCCCTAAACCTACCCGAGACCAACCCCAAGAAGCCCCACCATAAACCAGCACTAAACCATCTGCTGCAAGCACAACCACCCCCAAATTTGCTCTCAACAGGTTTGGAACACATCGAGAGCCGACCCTGAGCCAACCTGGAACCCACCCTAAACCCAGCCCAAACCAACACCTGGTGATGCTGAGGATGTTGAAAACGATGCTGAGGATGTGAAAACGATGCCGGGCCTGAACCTATCCCAAATCGACTACCCCAAACCTACCCTAAACCTACCCCAAACCTTTATCCGTTAGTGTCTCCTTTCGTGCACGCCGGTTAGGCTAATGCCAGGGCTATGCAAAAACAACACCTCAGCCCTGTATAAATTTGTTGGGGGGAGGGCGGGTTGTTCTTGTTCTTGGTGTTGTTGTTGTTGCCTCGCGCTCCCCTGAGCCCTTCGCCTCCCTCTACGCAAAGCGGCCTTATGGCCATAGGCCACACGACTAGAGCTCTGCAGATCTAGGTGCAACTAATTTGGTTTCTCTCCCAGTGTCCTGGGCCTAAGGCAAGACCAAGCATGGCTGTACAATAACGTAGCGGGTGTGGGAGAAAACGCGCGTCGGCTTTCTCCTCTTGGGAACACAAGTGCTTCCTATGTGATTTTGCTGCAACCTCCATTTTGTGTTTATGCATCCCTCCTGGATTTGGAGCAGGGTTTTGACCTCCCTATTGGTGTTTTTACACGGTTTTTACCGTGTACCCTCAAAAAAAGCCCCAAATGATGTCCACAATCCAAACCGATTCGGGTAGATGAAGGTTCGGGACAATCCCAACTATAAATAGCTGCGGATATCCGCCTTTGTATTTCCTCACATGGTTCTGGGTATCGACCATTTTAATAATTTTAGAGATCGAGACGGTTTTCTCTGCTTCGGGCGGGGCTCACACGTGTGTTGCAGAAATATCTCCTAAGCATCTGGCAGCTCTTTTTTCTTGCAAACCGTTGTTGTGGATGGACAAAATCCAATTCGCACCACTTAAGAAACCCTGGAAGGATTTGATTATCCTGTAAATACCAACAAATTATGGTTTCAACCATGGTTTCAAAGTGGTGCGAAATGGATTTCGTCCATCCACAGTATGTTGTTGTTGCTGGGATTGGGCCGCAAAACCGTTTCGCCGTGAGTTCCCTTGCCTGTCAGAGGCGAGCGGGCAGTGAGCCTGCTGAGCTGGCCGAGGCGAAGGGGCGGCTCCCTACAGATGGCACACACACACACATGGCATTGCCATTTTATTGGGTGCTCGTACAGACTGACGAAACGTGAAATTTCTTCTCGACAGGTTGCATGGAACCCAAGAAGCCACCTGCTGTAGGGCCCCTTCGAAAGCTCCATATGAAATTGCAGGACAGGGCCCACCCCACGACGGGCTTCGAACGCGCCCTGATTTGGGAGCCTATTGGTATTTTTCAAAGAAGGGAGTGGCTTGGAAAGCATCTGTAGGTCGAAGTGCGGCTGTGCAACTTTCAGTGTGTAGTACAAGTAATTGAGAGTACTTTGGCGGGCGCTTGCTAACCCTCAATTCAGGTGAGAAATTGGAGCATTCGGGCCCAATTCTCAGCTTTGATAAGCTAAAAGTGCAGAGCGTTTGAGCAGAGTCGGTGTTTTTGTTGGACCCAACCGCCGCAATAGCGACTATGTCATTGAATTGCAGTGTGGCTGCCAGCTCGGCAACGACATATTCGTAGGAAGCACGCGAACTATAGGAGAGGCATGTGCTATCATGAAACGAGCCAAAGGTGTCTTGAAGTTGTGTCAATGGAAACAAGTCCGGTCCCTTGGTTCCGCATGGTACCTATTTTTATGTTGCAAACATGGATCCGTCGCTCGATTGCCTGGGAAGTTGCTGGTAGACCCAGCTGGTTGCGCGCCAACTTGAGTCGAGGGACCGATGGCACGCAACAGCACCAAGCAGATGTACCGCAAAAATATATATAAGAAAGAACCTACTGCAACTTCCGACAACTAGCAAGCGGGCGTGTTTTTTCAAGTTGGTGCCCCTTTTTCGGTTGGTTTCAAAGAGAAACCAGTAGGTAAAGGGGACAACTAGCACAGGGGACTTCGGGAGAAGATCACTTTGGTGGGTGTGTTTTTCCGAGGGTGCCCCTTTTTGGGTAGGGGTCCGATAAAAACACGGCACACCCCAATGCTAGCAGGGTCTTTTTAGTTCTAAGGATTTTCCTACCCGAAAATCCCACATAAACCAAATCCAGGTCTGCTTTAGTGGTGTTCCAAACAGTCGGCTTACGTTCTACGAGGACTCCGCTTGCAAAGCAACCAGGATCCGACTCGGGACCCCATCCGTCACACCCCAGCGGCAACCGGCGTTGGTTGCTTCACAGGCTCCAAGGCTGAGGGCCCGCCCTTCTGGTTTTCTATTGCAAGTTGTGAGGGGATGTGTTGTTTGGCGGTGTTTGTCATCAAGTTCAACTTAGGCTTTTCGTGGTGTATAGTTTCCATGCCCGCAAGTCAAACTTTTAGCAGGGGATGAGGTTGGACAACCCAGTGTGGGGAGGGGGGAAGTTCAAGTGGGTCTGTCTTCTTAGATACCCTTTTTGGGGTGGTTTTAAAGGGAACCAAAAGACAGTTTCTATTTTGCCACACCGAGAACCGACCAACCGCAGGCCCGAGTCGCGGTTCAAGGCACGCACAAGGGAATGGGTCAAGGCCTAGGAGCTCGGAATGCACGAGTGAAAGCGTGGCTTTACTTATTCCTGACTATTTGTGGTTGGTGAATCATTGCAGAGTTTTTGCAGGTAGCCGTCCCCCTTCCAAGAATTCTAGGGTAATTATGGTAACCTGTCAAACGAGGTGAGCTTGCATGGAACCACCCGCTACAAGTACCATTTGTTTTTTCAATAGCGATGCAAGAGGCCTGCACAGCATAGGTTTTCTGTTGTTTGACCATGGGTTGTCCTGAGGGAAGATGACAACGACAACTCCGAGTTAAACTTGATCAGATGATTAACGGGAATCCCCTCAAAACAATTTCATTCCCTCAAAGCACGCCCTGATAGAAGGCACTCGGTTGTTCAGTGGCACCCTTTTCCTTTTTCCTTTTTTTTGGACGGCCCCACTACAACTGGTCTTCCCCATCTTTGGGTTCCCTTTTTTTCCAGGGTCACACAACCAACTGAGGGCATCCTCCGGCACTGGGTGGGGCTTCCGTTGGGTCCCCTTCATCCCAATGAGGCATTGTACTTTTGGAGCCTCATTGGCTTTGGGGGAAACCCCTTTGTGGAGTCCAAGGGGACACAGGCAAACTAGAAAAAATCTGAAGTGGAGCAATGTTTATTTCTACGTCGTTTGATTTGGGAAAGCTAGATCCTCCGAAGTTGAGCGATGTTTTTCCTATGGGTTACGGGGTCTCGAAAGAGGGTTTCAAGAGGGGTTATATATCAAAGGGTACTCAGGAAGGATGTCTTTCCACTCCGTTTTGTTGTCCTACGCGGTTTGATTGGGGAAAGGGGAAAGGCCTGCCGCTGGAAATGAGAAGAGCGCAGTTGAAGGGAACTTGGCAACTTCCTCGAGCGAACAGCTCCCAGAGGTTGTGTGTTTCGGTTGCGGAAGGAGGCCCTCCAGCCAATTCGAACATGGTGTTCATCTAAGGGCCAGTTTCTACATCCTAAAACCATGCCCCTGAAGCAAAACCCAGGGAATGAATCCCAGATATCGTGAAAATGTCCCATTCAGGCATTCAGGGCGGGGTGCAGCTTTGGGCATGGTTTAAGCCCTTGCTAAAACAAGATGTTCAGGCTTCCATTTGCTGAAACAATGTTTTTGTTGGTTTTGAGGGGAGTCTATCACTACTGCACATATGTTGTTTCTCCCAGCGGAGGAAAAACGCAAAAGGAGGCAAGTCTTTCAAAGACTTTGGCTCACTCTCCGCGGAAGTCGGCACCGGGAAAGAGTGAGGCGGAGTTTGCCGAGCGCCCTCGCGAGCGCGAGAAGCGCGCCAAGAGCTTCTGGGATGCACTAGTGTTGACCTTGAACCCCATCTCAGCTGTTGCCAAGTTGTTTGGTGTTTCGTTGTTTTGGTTCTGTTCATTTTTAGGGAGGCTGCAAGAAACAAAGGTTCTTGTGCAGCCATACCAAGGGCTGTGAAGCCTTGGTCCTTTATCTAGAAGCATGGGCTCTGGGGGGGAGGAAGGGGGGAGCGCCGATTAGCTCTTGAGCCCATTTGGGCTCCCTCCTCTTCCGCCCCAGCCACTTTGAGCAAGAAAATCCTCACCAAGGGTCCGATCGGGTCCAAGCATGGAGTACCCGGAATTCCGGTTTTCAGCATTTTGTTCGGGTCTTTTTTGGTGCCAAGGGTTCAGCATCTAGCTGCAACCGGAGGTACAACAACTTCACGCATGGAGCTTTGCAGTTGCTTGGTCCTTGAGGCGATTTCCAGCGAATCAGTCCCGGTTCCCTTGGCTTTTAGGCAGGTTTTTAGTTGGTTTAGTGTGGTCTTCTTTTGAGTAGGTTTCATTGGTGGTTTTAAAGGACGACCAACAGGAAAACTGATGCCATTTTGGGGTCCCCTAACAAAATCACGCATAGAGTTCGGTTTGTGGGCTCAGTCTTAAGTTTCAATAAACAAACAGCAGGTGAAGAGACGTAAATAAATGCCTGGCTATCCTGGTTATGGCAAATCCACCTGAGCGGAAGTGAGTCAACATGGAACCCAGAAGCCATCAAGAGGCGTCTCCTTTTTGTAAACCCCTCCCGTTGATTTGCAGCCACAATAAAATCCCAACTATATATAGTTGCGGATATCTGCCTTCTTAATTCTTGAAACATGGTTCTGGATTACAACCATTTTGACACCGGGGTAAGGGTTCCTCTTTAAACTCAACCAAAAAAAAGTGCCTTTTTTTCAATGGCCACTGGGCATCTGAGATTTTCAGTTTGGGCCTCTTTTTGGGTTCCTCCCGTTACTTTGCCGCGGGGCAACTATCGCTCCCACGGCAGCCCAAACAAATATTCCCAGATGTCAAAATTACACCGACAAATGCATTTCTTAGTCCCCCCCCTCCCCTCACCTCCCCCCACCCCTCACGCTCCGGTTCTTCAGGCGGTGCACTCCACGCATCGGGCGTGACAGCGCTAATGATCGCCTGCCTGGGCTCGATCTAGCGCTCCAAAGATGCCGCGGCCGGGTGGTTGGGCATTGGGTTGGGGATATCCTCACTCCCTGAGCTGGACTTTATACTTTTTGGGAAGACCATGGTGGTGGTGAACAAAAGAATGGTTTTCGGCTTTTTCTGGCCAATTCACTTAGGAGGTGAGAATTTGAAGGAGTCCCTCTTTCCAAGAATCAAATTGGACAGGAGGAGGCCCGAAAAGGAAAGTAGTCTTCCACAACCCTCTTGTCAGCTGCCATGATTGCTGAAGGGAGGGTTCTGGGCAGAGAACAACCTGCTCAGCTGGGGGTGAGGGGAGCTTGCTCGGAAGATTTCCTCTTTTTGTTTCCGGTTTGGAAAGCATGTTATTTGACAACAGAGGGATTGGTTCCCACTTCTATGATACCAGGGCACCTCTTGTCCAGAGGAATTTGTCATTTGGAAGGCCTTTCACTTGGCAACTTTTCGCGACCTCATGGAGTTTCAGGTTTGGAGACTCTGATGGAAGTTCCTTGCTTGGGGGTGGCCTTTTGAAGGTTGGTTATCGACTTTCTGCCCGTCTCATGAAAAGGATCTACCTTTCGAAGAGGACACTTTGTTTGATGGCTTTCGATTTTGATGGACTTACTTTTTGGCGAGTTGTTTTATGTTAAAAAGGCTCGGACTGTGTGGCAGTCCACTTAGGAAATGAGAAACACGGTGGCAGCGTGTTTGGATGATTGGTATGTCAGCCCAAAGCCAATAGATGTTGGGTTTTGCGCAATTCGGTCTCGGAATGTTTGTGGTCAGTTTGCTCTTCGAGCTCCCAGTAGTCTAATTTCCAATCAAGCCCAGGCTAAAGGGCTGAATCACCAAGAACCGGATCCTAAAGACCCAGCCCCAGGCCTTCATGAGGTAACTTGGCCTTATTGCTTGCCCGGCTTGTTTTGGGCTTAACCCCGAGCCTTGGGGTTTTTCGGGGTCGGCTTGCGACCGCACTTCGCAGCTTTCGAAGCGACGGCACAGATCAGAGACTCAGCACAGAGTCGCCAGTATTAGCTTCAAGGTGTCCTTTGTGTTTTTTTTTGCCAAGGCGAGGCGTGTTGCGTAGCAGAGGAACAGACACACATGCCACTCGCAAGGATTATTACGCACCTGAAGTCACTCCCTGAGTTTCTGGATGTTTTGTTCTTTCGGGGAAGACCTGGTGCACCGTCAAATGAATTCTTGACTTGGGGCTAACAGGATGGACTTCCACGTGGTCAGGATCCCTCATCACCTCAAAAAGTTGGCAAGGGAGCCTTGACCATAGGCCAAACAGCCGGAGCTTGGACATGTGAGCGGCAAACAAAAAGCGAGCAGAGGCCACTCCAGACGCAAGAAGGCCATTGAGGCTGCTTATGGCATAAGGGTTTAGCGCCCTACGCGCGCTTTACGCGCGCGCGTTCTCCTTGCCAGCCAGGAGCCTTGGCTCAGTGAGTCCAAGAATTTGGGGTTTACCTTGAGCTCTCCGATCTGATGTTTGTTTAGACTACAAAACATAATTCTGAATTACTATAAAAATACTGTGGATGGTTGCGAAATCCATTTCGCACCCTGCCATGATGACCCTGCCATGATGACTCCCCTGAAAATACCAACGGTTTCTTAGGTGCGAGAAGCGGATTTCACAGCCATCCATAGTATCACGTTCGGCTCTGGTTGACAAGTTGTTTTTTTTGTTTTTTTTTTTTGCATTCTACGCGTATTCTTTGTTGTAGAATTGATGTATTCAACATATATACCCTCGACCCATGAACCCTAACCACGTCAGTCAGGAATTTCCTAGGAGTTTTACCCCCTACGAGGGGGCCCAAGGTTAGAAGATGATTGCAAACCCGTGGAAAACATTGGAAGTCGAAAACCTTTGAGAGAACGATTACACGTTGTCGGAGTAGGGGGTTTGGGAGTGGAAACTCGCTTGGATATTGGGGACAACTCCAGGAGGGTTGCTTTGAGCCTCTTCAAAGGCAATTGTTGTTCAGCACCCCACAAAACCTGCTTTTTGGACTGCACTTCTCATTCTGGACATGAAAAACAAGCAGTTGCAAGTTGGGACCCAGGTGCTAGGTGAGGTTGTAAAAAGCATGAGCGGTTCCTTTGTGGACCCTGCCGCCTTGCTTTAGAAGGGCAAAGTACAACTTCCATTTTTTGTATTTTCCCTTGTTGGTTTTAAAATGAATTCATCACTACTGGAGATACATACATATATATTTCCAAAAACCGGCCGTTTTCCCCGGGGGTTCCGGAGGTTTTTCTAGAAAGAAGGATTTCTGGAAAAGTACAAGTTGTTTTGGTATAGAAAGTGGCAAGCTCAATTCAGAGGCCCAATGAAGGCTTTGGAAGTCTCAATTTGTATAGCCTTTGGCCTGTGCCTATATGGGTATGGGTCAAAATTTAACCAACAGGGGACAGCAGGTTTAACTCCATGGTTCCATTTTGGGTACAGCCATATTTTCCTACATATGATACAATGTATACATATATATATGTATAGGTATTTAATAGTATCCCCTCGCCCGCTCCCCCCCAAAATGAGCACAAGCCACCAAGTTCTCAAGTGCTCTAGGAAAGTTGGTGCTGACTTCAGTTCGAGCCTTACATTTGTTTTACGCAATGGGCGAGAAAAGACAGTCGTTTTCGAGCACCTTCCGAAGCTTCCATGATTGGAGAGAGGGAGGGTATCGAGCCCTTGGAAGTGTCTTCTTACTCCCTGATCTCCTGGACTTCATACTTGTTGGGAAAACCGTTGTAGTGCTAAACAAAACCTCCACTCGATCGGGGACTGAGTCTTTGGAAAAGCGGATACTGGGGTTCGAATGGGCTAAAGCGTTAACCGTAGGTGGTCGCTTGTCTTGACTCTTAATAAGTATCCACTTGGGCCACCATTTTGGCTCAAGTGGACCTTTTGATCCTTTGTCTTGTGATTTGAAATCTTTCTTTCCCCTACTCTCAAAGCCATGTACGCCCCCGCCTACGCTGGTGCCGCGGTAGCAGAGGCCAAGGCTAAGGCAAAGGCCTCCATGGCAAAGTACCTGGCGAACCTCGTGAAGAGGGAGGAAGAAGGATGGACCGTTTTGGCTGCTGAGGTCCCTCAGGCACCTGACGAGCGTTTCTTCTCCAGCGCAGATGAGCTGGAGCAGGCCCCCCTTATCCCGGCCAAGCGCAAGGCAGAGGATGAGCCGATGGAAGATGCAGCCCCTGGGGTGGCGCAGGTGCCGAAGGCCCTGACACGCCCCTCAGAGGCGTTCCTGGAGCTCCTGAACCCGCCGGAGGAGGACGTGCCCATGGAGGAGCTCCTGGCGAAGGACGAGAAGGAGCTGCCGATGCCCAGGTTCCCCTCGGCTGCAGCCTGCTTGGAGGAGGCCCGCCTGGATGCCCGGGCAGACGCCAAGTGGCAGAGGCGCCGGGAGCTGATGGCGAAGGTCAAGGAGCAGGCGTCCTCGGAGGAGGATGAGAACCCCGCAGCCCCCCCGCCGGGGGGGAGCGTGTTCACCAAGGCCCTCAAGGTCTCGGAGGGCCTCTACCAGTTCAGCGACGACCAGATGGCGGGCGACTTCCCTTGCTTCGATGCGACCACGGCCACTAGGCTCCGCCGACTGCAGGCCAAGGACGTCCAGCGGCTCCTGCGAGGCTTTGAGGGCCCCCAACTCAAGCAGGGGGGCCTGGAGCGCGTTGTGGAGGCCTTCTACATCGCCAAGATGAAGTACGAGCATGAGGCCCGGCTCAGCACCCCGGGACAGCAGGTTGGCAAGCGCGCTGGCTTGGGGTACGGGGGCCTGGAGAACCGCCCCCTGGGCAAGGTGCCCACATCCTGGATCTGCCCCTGCTGCACCATGCCCTGGGTGAAGAAGGGCGCCACGAAGTGCATGGGGTGCGGCAAGAAGACGGAGCCCATTGACACGGCGACCAACTCGGCCACCCTGGAGATGGCGGGCACGCATTGGCAGTTGACGGTGGATGACCAGGGCAATGCGGTCTGGACGGCGGCCCGGTCCGCGGGTGCCGAAGGCCCTGACACGGACCGGGCCCGCGACCTCAAGCTCAGTGCCTCGGTGGACGTCAGCGAGCTGGCCACCGACCCGATGGCCTGCGAGAACCCGGACCAGGCCAGCTTCTCGGACTTCGTCCCCTCCTCGGTCCGGGCGGTGATCAGGAACTGCCCCATGGAGCTGGACGAGGAGTTTCTGACGGCCCCACCGGGGGAGAGGCCCCCATTGCCAGGCGACAAGGAAGAGGGCCAGGAATGCAGAGCCTTCCACCCGTCTGCGGTGAAGGCCTTCAAGATTCAGACCCGGCTCAACGCCACCACCATCGCCCAGGAGGAGGCCAAGAAGGCGGACCAGGTGGAAGCGGTGGAGCGCTCCGCGGCGGTCCTCCACGAACTTCAAGGGGGGGCCATTGACGGAGGAGGTGATGGAGGCCTGCTCCTGAAGAACCTGGACTTGGACCTCTTCCGTGAGAAGCTGCTGGACAAGCTGGGTGCGGACTGGGGGAGACCCACACCGGAGCTCCTCCAGGCCCAGACCACTGCGGAGGAGGCGAAAGCGAAACACCAAGCCAGACAGGCGAAGGGCTCCCTCGAAACCAGAATGCTCGAGCCCATCGCGCCTCCCTTCAGTGCGTGGCCTAGCGAGGTCCGGGTCGCCATTGAGACTGGGGTCTTCGAGCCGACAACGGCATGGAGGGACTTCAGTATGGACGACCTCACATCCCTCACGGACTCCTACCTTGAGGCCAAGGCGGGCTGGGTAGGTCTTCCCGGCGGCCCTCCTGTCAGATCTGCCGGACCTGACAGATCCCCATGCCAAAGGCGGGGGGCTCTGGTGCGCCCTGACAGGCCGCCCACCATCCCCCCAGCCTCGGGCTCTGGCGTGACGAGCTCAGGTGCCGAGGGCCCTGACAAGCCGTCCGCCACCCCGGTGGGCCTGGACACCAAGGACCCGGAGGTGCAGCTCTCGGTCCTGCGCTGGATGATGAGCAAACGGGTCGGAGAGGTCCGTATCTTTGCGGGCCGCTGGGTCCGACGACCGGGCCCGGTACACGTCCCGGATTGGGCGAAAAACCAAGGTGAATCCGGAGGCGTTGGAGAAGGGTACGCATCCCAGGAACCACCAGGTGGGTGGACTCCCCTGGGCCAGGTACTCCGTTGATGAGTTGAACCAGCAGGCGAAGGCGGGGGACCGACCCTACCCTGGGGACCTGCGATCCATCTTTTGGGCTGCCCCCCACGATCCGGATGAGGACTTCCACTGGACGCGCCAGATCTCGTCCTGGACACTCCCAGGCCTACTGGGGATGTTCGGGCACAGCTACACCCAGAGCTGGGAGTCTCTGCCACTACTCCAAGGGGGGGCAGCGGGGCCCGAAAAACAAGGCCCAGAATCAGACCCGCCTGGAGGGCTGGGAGACCCTGAAGGAGGACGCGCGGTGCTTCCTGAAGGAGGAGGGCCTTCCGTTTCCGCAGACAGGACCGGAGTGCACGGACACCCCGGCGGAGGTGATGCAGCTCCCGGTCCAGGACGTGGCGGACTCCAAGGAGCAGATGATCCTGCGGGCGGTATGCGACGAGCGCATCTCGGTCCCGGTGGAGAGCCTCCAGCAGTTCCCAGAGGTGTACAAGGCCCTCATGGACCGCATTGGAGGCCCGGGGGCCCTGGCGGAGGTGAAGGTCAACTGGCGCTGCAACACGAAGCAGTGGTGGGTCGGCGCAGTCCCCGACTCAGTGGCCCCCTCCATCTACCGCAAGCTCGGCTACACCAACGACATGATCAAGCTGATGGGCCTGGACCCCTCCGCCCCTGGGTGCCGGACAGGTGCCGATGGCCCTGACATCCGCCCCAGGGGAGGCGAGGGCGATGAGGGGATCGTTTACCCCCCCATCACGGCGGACAACGTCCACGGCGTGGTGGGTAAGGACTACCGGAAGAAGAACTATCCGGTGGAGATGAAGCATGTCTTCTGGGCGCACATGGAGTGTGGCCTGGTCCTGAGCTCCGTCACCCCGTGGGAACTCATCCCGAAGACAAAAGGGGAGACCCGGGGGGGCTACATGTGCAAGTATTGTAAGGGGTACTGGCGTGCCGGGGGAGGGGGCACCCGCCTCCTCCAGATCCGGGCCGGCAAGGCCATCTTGCAGCTGGTGTTGGACGAGCCGCCGGAGGGCCTCTACAACCGCTGGGTGAAGGAGCGGCTGGAGTACTACCGCCGGGTGGAGCCCTCGGCCCCGTTGCGGGACGTCTCCATCGTGGACCAGAAGGTGCCCAGGTTCAGATTCAGCCAGACCACCCAGACAGGCCACGTCTCCAATGCCATCTGGGAGCTGATTCTGCGGAATCCGGAGGCTGCTGCGCTCAAGCGCATCGATGACATCGCGAAGGGGGCCGCGTGATGATGCGGGACAACGCCATCTTCCGGCACACC